AATTGAATTAAATAGAATAGAATCCAATAGAATAGAACAGAATAGAATGGAATCCAATAGAATCCAATTGAATCAAATAGAATAGAATAGAATGGAATCCAATTGAATTAAATAGAACAGAATAGAATGGAATCCAATTGAATCAAATAGAATAGAATAGAACAGAATAGAATAGAATCCAATTGAATTAGATAGAATAGAATAGAATCCAGTTGAATTAAATAGAATAGAATAGAATCCAATTGAATTAAATAGAATAGAATAGAATAGAATAGAACAGAATAGAATAGAATAGAATAGAATAGAATAGAATAGAATAGAATAACCAAAATCTAGACTTTTGCCATGATTGGTATGAGATGGAATTCAAGGCAACAAGAGATTGCCTTGAATTCATCTCTTGAATTCAAGGCAACAAGAGATGTTCGAGAGAGCATTTGCCTTATTGAAATGAGTCTCAGCCTGTGAGGCTGTGTTGATTGCTCATCCCTCATTTTGCAGCCAACAGGCTCATCCCTGAGCAGGAAACCAAAACTTCAATCTTCAGAGCTTCTCTTTAGTAACCTGACAGTGACATCACAGACAACATGTCGGTGCTTTTTCTCTGTCTATGGGCCCCAAGCAAAGGATGTGTTTAAATGCTACATGAGCAAACTTCACACTTTGGCAGTTTCACAGGGACATTTTGGAAGTTTGAAAGTTTCATCAGCCAAAAATCATGCAAGGCAACGTTAAATTTCTTATTATTATTCTCTGGTGGGGGTGGAGGTGTTGAAGAGTTTCAGCCAGCGTCAGTGTGTACAGTTTTCTCTGGATGGACTCCTTGCTCATTTGCTGCCATAAAACGCTTTGATTTCTGCCTGTAATTTTGATTCATTACTTTCTCTTCACTGAGAACAGTTCCTGTTAGACTCACACAACAGCAGAATCTGCAGGGTCTCATTTAAAAGAGATGAGATGGGAGACTCTTTTCTGTCACAACCCCCCCGTTTGTGATTTAGTCCAATAAACTGAGCATGTTTTTACATAATAATGAGACCATCGCATGGGGATTTTGTCAGCTTTTGTCTGACCATGTTTTTGATCAATCATTTTTGATTGTGGAAAAACTGGTTCTGTATTTTTTATTGAAACTATTCACATCTTGCCTACAGGAGCGTCAGTGTTAATATTTCATCAAAGGAGAGACAGCTGCACTGGCAGGGAATGTTTCCAGATGTCACACCTCTCTGCTGTTAATCTATCACTAACAGAACAGACAAGAGGTCTTTATGGGTCCTCGTGGTTCAGTCCAGTTGCCAGAAAACAATGTTGCTGTCCATTTCTGCAAACGATGGATATGTTGTATTTCTTCGTTTTATGTCAGTGTTTCTAAAGTGATGTAGCTTGACACCTAGACGAGACATCTGCCAAGCTGCAGACCGCTGTTCGAGACTAACAGACAACAAAACTGGTTGTTTTTAGTTTGTCCGTGGTTTGCATAAACGTGCAATACCAACATTATTCTGGTAACGTTTCCTCATAGATTTATGTGATCCTTATGTGTCCTATGATCATGCAGACACAACAGTTCGTATGGTATTCTACGAATTAGCGCCCCACTTATCATGTTATGTCCTTAACGTGCAGTTACATAATTAGCGTAAAGTCACAGAGATTAGCTTTAGGCAAGTAAAGTTACTGTCGTTAGAACGTACCTTAAAATGACCCAGAGTTCACTCAAAGTTTACACGCTGCTGAACATGCATCTCCCTGGAAAAGTCCATGTTTTTGTGACCCATCCACCACCCCAACCTACCTCCTTATAAGACCACTCGGGACTTCTTCCTTGTTTACTCCCATCAGCGCATTTGTCATTTGATTGCAGCCTTTCAAAATATGTTGGATATGTATAAATTTGTGTGCATTACTTTTTGTAGGAAAACACACGTACTGTTTATGAGAACAGTCTGATTCTAGCGACTTGGTTTATAGTAACTGAGACCCAAAGCGAAACCAAAGTCAAAACCACATCCAATGTGTTTTCAGTCTAATCAGGTCCTTGTAGGTTCCCCACTCTATTTCTATGGGTTTTTGGTCCGTGTGTCACTATGTGTAATACATGTGTGGCTATAAGCTCTGATCAGAGAAGCTGGCCTAATTTTTCTTAGCTCTAATTCAGACAGGTTTGGATGGTCCTCAGGTGTCTTTGAGTCAGGTAGTAACATAAGCATCTCCATTAAGTTTGTCATCAAGTTTTCCAAAGAACTGTTTTGTGTTAGTACAGAACTTTTGGGCTAGTAAAGTTTACTTAATAATAACAAGTCTTCCAAACTAAATGACAAAATATGTTGCATGTAATTGGCTTCCAAAGTGGTTCATAGCCTTCTGCAATCTGATACCTTTATTGGCGTGACCATACCACTTCTCATTGCCTACCAAAACAGCTGGAGAAAGTGAGGGTTACAAATAATGATGGCCAAATAAAGCCTAATGAAGCATCTTCTTTATTTTATAAGCCCACTAGATGGCGCTTTTTTTTTTTCAACAAAAGATTGAAAATACATTGAATTGCCATTCTTTGAGCCTCCCTTTTTAAACCAAGAGCGCCATCTAGTGGGCTCATAAAATAAAGAAAATGCTTCATGAGGCTTCATTTGGCCATCACTAGTTACAAAAGATCAGCAGTAATAGCTAAAAAAAACAGGGCCGATTGTCTGTTGGAAAGTGGGTCTACACCGGCATACATAGTCTCCCATGTCAAAGTCACACACTTCTTTGACCAATTTTGTCTACCAAAATTTGTCTCAGTGAAGATTTGTAGCTGCATAAAATTGTCACTCTAGCACTACCTTTGCTTCTTAGAGACTACAGCCAGTTGCTAGCAGAATATGTTGGCATTGTACATTTCTGCACACCACTGATACATTACATTTGTACATTTCATACTCAGTGTTTCTAACATAAGGTAGTATGAGCTCAATTTGTCACCAGGAGGCAGGGGGGATGTTAGATGGCCGTGTCAAGTGGGTGAGACGCCTGCCAAGCAACAAACAATATATCCATTTGCGTTTTAGTGAGTCATTGCCATCGTCATTCTTTCGTCTTTTTAGCTACCAGTCACTGTAGTTCCAGTGGGGATAGTGCCACTGAAAGTGGGGATTTTAAGTGAAAACATGATCTTTTTCTAACCATAACCAAAACCAAAACCTAACTTAACATTAACCAGAGCATTGTTGAAACATGAAGAAATATATCCACTACATAGTTATGTACAAATGTAACATTTCCATTGTTCCAACACATTCTTACTCTGACCTCATCGCATATCGACGTTTGGTCATGGACTTTCCACGTCCAGATACAACGTGCAAGGTACCCTGACTTCGTTGGTTGTTGACGTTCTGGGACGCTGCATGTCATGCTGACTTAAATGGTTGGCTTTTTCATCAGTGTCTGATGCCGCAAGTCACTGACCAAGCACCTGATTTGGACAACTTCGGAGTGAGACCGGGTTGATTTTTTGCGGAAACATGCAACACCAACATTCCTTCTTGCGATTGGGTTGCAGACAAAAGTCACTACTAATCCATGAGTCTGCTGGAGGTCCTCTGTCAGTTAAACGTAAACACTTGTCGTATTGAGGCATTTGAACAAAGGACTGATGCTGTCGTTTTTCTTGGGAATCTCTAAAAGGAGTTTGTGGTCAGAAATGCCTTAGAGATGTGTTGTTGACGGGATCCCCTGCTGTGGTGCTGTTGATGCCTTTCATGTGGGTTTTTGGTGCCCTGCAGTTTCGGCAACAGCTTGCAAAAAAAAAAAAAAAACCAAAAAAACAGCAAAGCCTGACCCTCTGTCAATGCCGACGGGGATTTTCTCTTCAGGAAGACTCTCTGCTTGTTGAAATGTGGGATGTGAGTTCAAGCAGGAAAAGCTGCCGCTCTGGTGAAATGCCCTCGAGCAAGGCATCGACTCCCTGCTTGCTCTGGATCTCTCAGCTGTGCGAAATCTGCATTGTGCATTTCAAAGCATGAAATAGCACTAAATGCTTGTGATTAAACCATTGCACCAACAGGAGGAAAAGTTGGATGGATGAAACATGTCGAGACACTGTGACCACAGTGACTCACAAATCTGTCATCTCTCCTGTGAATGGCCATTCCTCATGTACTATATGCAACTGTGTACATCCAGAACATAAACCTGTAAGTGGGCGTGTGTGTGTGTGTGTGTGTGTGAGTGTATTTGCATCCGTCATGCATGACACCCAGGCTCCTCTGCACACCAATGGAATTCACACACTATTTTTTTTTTTAATCTCAGCAAAATCCTCTCAGCTGTTACATCCATCCCTCTACTCCCCCAACACACACACACACAAACACATATACACACATACGCACTCGCCAGCTCCGCCATAGACTTTGGAATTCACTGTTGCCATGGCAATGGAATAGAGCACGCTCTCTCGCATCGCCTGTTCTTTTCTGTTGCTTTATGTCTCTCTCTCTCTCTCTGTAGAGGCAAACCAGCTTCTCTTGTTTGACGGGGGCTCGTTTTCTCCCGTTGGCATCAGGTTTTGGATGTTTGTTTGTTTGTTTATTCAAAGACATATCGTCATTGTCATATAGACAACATGTTTGCATGGGAGATGCTTCTGTACAGGAGCATCCCCTGGTTTCAAGACTCATGTCACGTTCGTTAATCGAATCCATCCTTTTGCCCCCCCTCATCTCCTCTTCTCATCTCTTCCTCACACTCGTTCCTATCTCCTCCTCATCTTCTCCTTGTCTTTTGCTTCTCTTCCTCTCTCTCTGTCTTTCCTCTCACTCTCTCTCTCATCTGCTCTTTACCCCCCTCCGCCTCTTTCTTCCTTCTCTCAGTAGCTAAGATGACTGCCATGACAATTCAATGAGAGGAGAGGACGCCAAGTGAAGTATCCCCCGCTCGCTGGAAAGGAGAGAAGGAGTGCTCAAGGTAAAGAGAGGAGAGGGAGAAGAAGAAGAAGGAGAAGAGGAAGAAGAAGAAGAGGGAGAAAGAAGGGATAAGACGAGAGGGAGAGGCAGAGGGAAGAGGGGAGAGAAAGCGAAGAATAAACGGTGGATGGAGGCAGCTCGGACCGGGGCTACGGAGCGCTCTTCACCGACGAAGAAGAAGAAGAACAGCAGCAGCGGGGGGGAGGAGAGATGGAGGCGAAAGGCAGAAACATACCCTCAGGTAACACACACACACACACACACACATGGGCGAACGTGCATGTGCATACACAAGCAGCAAACCACCAGATGCACATGTGGATTCTTTTATGCATACACACATTTATGAGACATGCATATAAATATTCAAGCAACATTCAAACACACAAACAAGCATGGGTGAACACAGTTGTGCAGGAAACCACACACACACACACACACACATATACTGGAGTGCAGATGTGTACAGAGGTTTGGATTCAGAGGGCAAGCGGTTTTGATTAATCTGCGCTGGCATTTGTGTAACCGAGCCAATGTTTGTTCTTATTTAGAGATGACTGGAGGGAGTGCTGACATGTAAGATAATTCATTGACATGCTGTGAAAAATTAATTTGTGTTGGTTTAATTGAACAGCTCTGCAAAACTGAAATTATCTGTGTGAAACTTGAAATGTCATTCAGTTTTAATTATGTTGTATTTACATGCAACGTAACTCTGGAAAACAGATTTTTTTTTTTTTTTTAAATGCAAAATGCAGCCTTGGTTGGTTGGTACATTTTTTGATGAGGCTAACCAATCAGGCTCAAGTAAAGCTAGGATACTCAACCTTTCATTGTCTACGCTGGATGCAACTGAGCTGTGTTTTCATATGTAAGAGCACAAAATATATTTTTTCAATTCCCCACTTTTGCCTGAAGTGGCTTGTATCTGCACACTGAAGTAAATTTACACACTCAGGCTGGGTTGCACCACCAAAGATGAATTTAATCCAAAATTAGTTCTACTCAGAGCTTAGCAAAACTAGGTTTTAAATGACAAAATCCAGATTTAAAATTAAAGCTACAATTGGTAACCTTTAGGAAAATAACTTTTTGTCATAATTGCTGAAACTGTCACAACAGACACAAAGTATGATATGAGACAGATAGTCTGTGAAATTAACTACTACTGCCTCTAATGGCATTCGCTAAAATCCACCCTTGCTGAATGAAAACAACCAATCAGAGCTGTGGAGTCTCTAATACAGCTGCCAATCATGTCAATTGCTGCTCATGGATCAAGATTATGTTACGTCATTGCCTATTTCTCACCTCAGTGTTCTCAGAAACATATTTTAATGAAATGTTTAGCTGTAAAATGAGAAAGTGCTCCGGCCTTTGGGCCATGCCTGGTGCCTCAGTCGACCATTTCCAACTTCGCCGCTGGGTCACAAACATTCTTATTTTAGTGCTAAGCAGTACACTTAAATGTTTCTGAAGACACTTGAGGCAAGCAATACACATTGCAGTAACATAATTTTGGCGCATATTTGATCAGCATGGCTCAGTTTGAAGTTTTGCCAAAATTAGATAGAGTTCAATCAATATGAAGATCCTTGCTTACTCAAAATGAATGAATTAATTACAAAGAAATACATTTCCGTGCTGTTGGGATCTAGTAAGTAAAAAAGGGGGTAGACCCTTAACTTTCAGCTGCTTTGTATTCCCTAACAAAATGTTAAGTTTTTTGCTAGCTAGCTAAAAAGTCAGTTAGCTAGCTTAATGTTACTCTTGATGGCTTAGCAGGGAAGTTCTAATTTCTCTGAGGCAAACATTAGCTTCTTTTAGCATCCACCAGACAAATTATACAAGGACTTTACAACAATTGGTACGCACCACTTGAGTCGACAATTACCAACAAGCCAAGGAGACTAAAAGTTGTAAAAAAACAAAAACAAAAAAAAGATAAACTAAGCTAGCTTCTTACACGTAACCAGTGGTGTGTGTTGTAGTGTTTTAAATCATTAGGCTCTTTCGTCAGGGGAACTCCTGAGAGTTACATAGTGCAATAACAGGCGTTCAGGGCATATGTTCTCTGTTTTTTTTTTTTTTTATATATATAGTGTCCAAGGCATGACCCACCCTACTCTGCCTTACTCTGCTTCTAATCGGCTTACCCTGACATTAGTGTTTTTCTTTTCTTTTATATCAGACAAGATAAGGTTTGTTTTACCTTGACGTGTTTCGACGGATGTCTTCCATCTTCTTCAGAAATGTCACCAGATGTCATTGGTCTATGGATTTCTATGGATTATTACCCTGACATTCTTACCCTAACCCTAACGAATCTCACTCCTCTTGCCTTAACCTAAACAACCCAACCAACAAAGACAATGAGTACTAGTCAATCAAAGGGATAGTAGAGCTAGTCATGCCTTGGCCATCCTAGGAAAAGAAAGAACATTCAGGGCTCGGATGGGGGAATGACAGGACCATTCTTACTATTACAAGGTAGTGTACCATCTAAATGATGTTGAGGCTTTTATTTTAAAGGAACAGTGTGTACGATTTAGGGGGATGATAATGGCATCTAGCAGTGTGAACTGGAATTATCTGCAGAGGTTTCTTCTTCTCCAAAAGAAAAAGGAAAATGAGCCAAGTGATTAAAAACTGGTAAAACACTTCATAAAGCAGTTTGACATCACAAACCAGTGTTTCTCCAATGCTGTTGGGCCTGTTTGAGACATTTTCTGCAAATCCCACACACTGGAGCTTTGAGGTATAAAAAAGTGACATAATGTTAAAGTGCATTACAAAGAATTGATAAAGGAAAACCAAATACACATTTTCAGGAAAAAAAATCTTGTCATCCATTTATTCACTCACTGTCTGAATGGTGTTACTTTACCACCCAGTGCAGTTACACTTTACTTGAAGGTATCTACATAAGAATGATATGACACTGTCTTAACTATGACATGACACAGTCATGAACCTGTTATCAACATTATGTACATGTTATAAATGTTTATGACTGCTGTCATTAAGTGTCATTCGGGTTTTGTGATGACAAGTTGACATTTTAGGGTTGTCTTGATTATGACAACTTGACATTAATTACAGTGACATTACCAGAAGTTGTCTTTGTCATAACAATAATAATCATTATGTCAACTTGTCATAAACACTAAAAGAGGTGCATTTCTTGTTAATGTCAAGTTGTCATGACAAAGACATCTTCTGGTAATGTCATCGTGGTTAATGTCTAGTTGTCATTATAAGGACATCCCAAACAAATTTAATGTCAACTTGTCATGACAAAGACAACTTCTGGAAATGTCACTTTAATTAATGTCAAGTTGTCATAATCAAGACAACCCAAACAATGTCAACTTGTCATTACAAAAACTGAATGACACTTAATGACAGCAATCATAAACATTTATGACATGTACATAATGTTTATGACAAGTTCATGACAGTGTCATATCATAGTTATGACAGTGTTATGTCACCCTTATGTCGATACCTTCAAGTAAAGTGTTACCCCCAGTGCAATGATCTCTTTCTGCAGTCTTGTTTGGACATACCTTGTGCAGCAGGCGGGTCAGTTTCAGGGTCAATGTACCAGTGGTCTCTTTTATTTTCGGATTTGTGTTGCCATGGAAACACCCCTCAGGCCCACTGAATTAGCCATATCGTTTAAAAGCCCACACTGGGATTGATATTCTCTGTGCGATGGATTGTTTACATTAACGCTCCCGTTTGTGGATCTCATGAACGGAAATTGCAGTCTGGGTTTTCCAGATATGAGTTTTCATGCCAGCATTTGTCCACTATGTGTAGTCAAACGATTGGAATCTTACTGAGGAACTAAATGGTTGAATGCAGTGCGTTTATTCAGATCTGCCCCCTCCCTGCTTCTCTCCCTGGATGTTTCATTTATGTTTCCTAAAGCACAACAGATGTGTTGTTTCTCTTGTCTTTCATTTCACTGTTCACCTCTCAGCCTCCATTTCAGTCTCTTCTCTCCTCTTTCCTTTTCCGCACTCATCTCTTCTCGTCTCATCATCCACTCCTCTCTTGTCTCTTTTACCTTCCTTTTCTAATTAATGTCTACATAAACCTCAGCTTTGCATTTCTTTTTAGCTCTTTTTCAGTTGCCCTTCGGCGTCTTTTCCACTTAAGCTTATTAGTATTTTTCTACCTGATGTCCTATTGATCTTATCAGCAAATAAACTCCAAAGATTGCCCTTCGTATCAGCAAACTCTTTTGATATTAACACCTCTTAAAGTGAGTCTATTGGAAATCTAGATTTTGACAAGAAGGTCAGAATTCAAATGTTCCTACCTGCTGAGAGAATCCACTGATCCATGAAATATTGGATTTTCTAACTTTATTTGAATTTTTTTTTTTTTTTCAGGGAAACTCATTGAGAGACTTACAAAGGAGGAATCTCTGTGTTTCCCAGCACCCCATCTTCCACCCTTCACTGTTCATTTTTATAACAATATTTGATGTCTCATATTTTTGTTGATTTATCAGGTCGGCATTTTTGTTCCTCTGCTGCCAACATTTCTTTTCTGCTTTAGGCTGTGTACGCTGGTTTTTGATTAAAAACTACTCCAGTGTGCTGCTCACCCAGAATGCAATGGGAAGACTCAACCCCATCAGCAGCTCCCACCAGTCACCCACAGTAGCCCATGGGGGACAGTATTTCTATTAATGCATAAATATTTGACAGTTCAATGCATGAATTGTGAACAGGGCAGAATGCAAAAATGGTTACATGTCTTATTTTTAGCACCTCATTTTTAATTTCAGCCTTTTGAGGCATTTTTTAACCTTGGTGGAAATAAATGACTGAAACCACAGATTATTTAGTTTCACATGAACCTGAATATTGAAATGAATGGATTCTTTAGATATGTGTTTAGTCTTAAAATCAGTAGGCCTACCATGCACTAGAATACTTTATTTACTTTTAAAAGACTAAAGTCTGACACCCTTTTCACATCTAAAGACAATGTGAGTTTTAAAGATTTTGCAAAGGCTGGGGATCTTGCAGGGTCACTATTTGCAGTACTACAACTAGATTCCTTTTGAATTTATTCCCCATTCTGCACCTGGTGGAAAATATAATGCCAAACCCCTGATCAGAACATGTCCAAAAAAAACATATAAGTCTAGATACACAAGACAAAAGGTGTCATATGTCTATTCTTGTCAGTTTCGCCAAACTATGCTTGAAAACCACGTTTTTGATTTTGACACTTCCACTTGCTACCAGCCTCTGTTGGATAGCTGCGCTATTTTAGTGGAAGGAGACCATGGGAATGATAGGTGACCTGATTCAAAAATTAGGATTCTCACTATAGTACAGTAAATGTTGGTTGGTAGATCCGATACACACTGAATTAAACACCAAGGCCTCTAGTTTCGCCGACCGGGCGAGGCGGAGGCGCAGCACACTCATGCTTCACCAACTGGGTGTGGCCAGGCGGATTTTGCAAGTTTGGCACACTGTGCGTGTTGAGTGGGTTTTACACAGCCGATTCACATCACACCAATCAAATGAGCCCCTCTCCTCACCCTTAAATGAGAGTTTACTCAATTCGCCATGGCAATCAAGATCCCAGGAGCATGCATCAACTAAAGTAAAACACTCATGATTTTAGTCTGACAGTGGAAATTGTCTGTGACAATGAAACTGCTTGAAAAGTCATTTGGTGGAAGGCCGGCATAACTTGTAGGCAAACAGTGGGCGTTCAGTGATTGGCTCTTCACACTGGGCAGTCTTGTGCTGACTCAGAGGAGGAACAGGTTGTCTGACAAATAATTTGATGATCTCATGAGGTAGAACCACTGCTTTAGTGATAAAACATAACATAAGCTGGACTAAACTATAAAGCCACGGTTTGGTGAGCAAGCAACTCCACTGATTTTGTTTGAGTGTGTTTGGCCTGTTAAATGCAGTTCATATGCCATTCAAACATGTTTATTTTCTTTTAAGTGTGTCATCATCTAATAGTGTTAGGAAGGCCATTCTTTATATTATTCTATTTAGGCCTATTACTTTATTATTGTGAGGCAATTAATATCTTTCTATGTTGGGCTGTGTTGTGAAGGCCAACCTCTTTTATGTAATATAGTTTTATTTTGAGGCAGTTAAAGCCTACTGCAGTGCCAGTTTGGTTCTCCTGATCTTTGTTTGATGCTGATTTGTGGGCATGTATAAGGTTTAATATTATATTATTGTTAACTTGCAGTTACAAGACAATGCATCTCAGTCGTTGTTGTGGAGAAACGCAAAAGTAAATTAACAAGTAGTGTAACACATTACTTTCTATGGGGAGTAATTCAGTAAAGTAATTGATTACTCTTTTAAATGACTAACAACTTATGTGTTACACATGACTTTTTTTCTGTCTGTGTTTTTGTCAGACATCAGTTTCCTTCCCCGCCCAGCGCTGGTGTGGTGTGAGCGGGGCATCCAGGTTCTGCTGACCACCATGGGGGCGTTTGCGGCCTTTGCCCTGATGACGGTGGCCATCGGTACAGACTACTGGCTGTATGCCCGCGCCTTCATCTGCAACAGCACGGCCAACTCTTCCCAGGATGAGTCCAACAATAAAGACAAGAAGGACCCTGGGGCACTCACCCACTCTGGCCTCTGGAGGATCTGCTGCCTGGAAGGTACAGCTGGTTGCATATGTGCATGCACATTCACGCATGAGTGTGCGCGTATGAGTTTGCAAGGCCGTGGGAACCTTTCGATGCGTTGGGGGTTAAATGTGTATTTGTTCTGTCATGTGCTGGCCACTTGAGGGTCTTGCTGAGGTCAGTGTGTTTGTCAGTGTAATCAGAACAGACATAAATAGGTGCTCGTATTCACAAACACACGCTGCTAGTATGATAAATTGCTCCAGTTTTGCTTACGTGAGTGTTTGTTGATCTGCTTGTTAACCTTTCAGATTTGTTATGAGGTCAGTGACATCTCATAATTGGTAAGGAGCAGCCTGAGTGGATGCTGGTTGAACTTTTCCAGCTATGTGACCTTGTGAGACATTAGAAAAGCTGATATGATCCCCTGTGTTTACTTTTTTGCTGCATCTTGGCATTGTCACACAATTAAGACGAGATGTCAGCATGTATAGATCTGAGCTTTGCCTCATTTTTTCCTGATCCACTTGTAGCCACTTAAAGAAAATGTTTGCATTGTATGTCTCTGCAAACCAGAAATATTTTACATTTGTACATTTCATATGTATCATATCAACATTCAAGTGACGTAGTATATGAGCTGACATTGCCAGCTCATATACTACAGAGGTTGAGGGGATGGTGGATGGTGTGACACCTAGGTGAAACATCTGCTGATGTGCAGAATCCTGTTCAAGACCATAGACTGTGTATGGAGATGTACAAGGTTTCTCCACCACTCCCACTGTACAAAAAAGGACCCAAAATATCACGGATACAGCTGCTGCTATCTTGCCCTGCTGACATCATTCGGAGCCATGAGTCTGTGCAGTCGCAGTCTCAATGGTGTCAAGTTCCTGCTAATACACAAGTCCAACCAGTTGCGAGCAGCACCGTTGATTGCGAGCACAATGACTGTCACTCAAAGAAATAAAACCAAACTCATAAGAAAAACAAAAAAACACCATGTACCTTCCACTAACCTGGAGGCATTTATGACCTAAACTGCAGCCAGCCACCAGGGGGCAATCGAGATGTTTTGGCTTCACTTTTGGGGAACTATCACTTTGTCTATATTTGAGACCATTAACAACAAAATGGATTGTTCTTTTACTGAGTCATTGTTGTGTTTTCCAGCAGCTTTTCAGCCACCAAACGCAAGGGTTTTTAAGTAACCCAAAGCTTCACCGGGGGTTCTGTCACAAGAATTGGTTTTTCCAGAGACATCACTCCATTTCACCCAAGATCGTGCTACCAAAAACAGGTCGATCAGGAGAGACGAATGAATGAGAAAAAAAAAGTTTAATACAGATTGCAGGTGTACAGTTTAATAGATGATAAGTGATAATTAAGACTTGACAGAGAAATGTTGGCACTTACACTCTATAGGGAGAATTTGTAATTCAAGGGCATCAGCCTTGAGCAGCAGCAAGATAAATCCCCAATGGAGTCCTGATGCTAGTGGTGGTAGCTGGTGACTTTGATGAGTCTGATAGGCTGAAGAAGCTAATGAGGCTGATGTGGCTGATGAGCCCGATGAATCTGTGTAGACCAGGGGATGATGGGGGAGTGGAGGGTGCAGGCTGCAGCATGAACATACCACAAGCAGCAAATAAATCACATTTAAAAAGACAGCAGCAAGGTAACAATGAAGGAGTGTTGCTGTGCTGTTGGTTAACTGGCATCCGCTGATATCTTGATTGACAGTCCCAGACAATGACAACAAGAAACTGTGAATAAGCATGTATGCAAGGCTTGTATGGCAGATGGTATGAGGAATAAATTGCAGGTCTAAGCATGCAAAATTACAGTCTTCCTGTCTGAACTTTCACTAGAGCTTCATTTTTAGTTGCCAAGAGCTTACTTCAGTCCCAGCTGGGATTGTGCCACCAAAACCGGATATTGTAGCCAAAACATGATCTTTCCTAACCATAGCCAAGTGGGTTTTGTGGCTAAACCTAACCAAATGTTACCCACAGTGTTATTGGAACGGAAGTAAACAAAGTTTTAAGATATCCGCTACATAATAACATACAAATGTAACATATCCATGGTTTGCAGAAATCTACAATGCCATTACTTATTCTGGTATTTAATTTGGCACTTGTTTTTCCATGCAAAGGCACACACTAACCCTTACATATACAGTACACACTCATACTATGCATTCAACATAAAACTCATCACAATGCCCCGGAGCTCAGATATGAGTGGTGACTCATCCAGTGTATGATTAAGTAGTTTTCCTGCGTTGCTGCAGCTGACAGACAGATTTAATAGGACAGGACACACACAACACGCTCACAAATATACAAGATGAGGTTTACAGGCCGCGGCTATCTATAATAAAGGTTCTTGTGTTTTAGTTAAAGGCGTGACAAGTTGCATTTTAACACCAGTAAATTACCACATTCATTTTGAGGCAGTAGTATAATTATCATAAACAAGAGAACAGCAGCCTTTTCGCTGCGTTTTCCGCTGTGTGCAATCACATCTGACATGAAAGGAAATTTGATGGTGCTTCAGAAGTTTCATCCAGAAGTAGTTTATCAGGTTTAATAGTTTGATTTTGAAAGCTTTTTCATTTAGAAAGATTTTTTGTTGTTTTTCAGAAATCATCCCAGGTGTCAGACAGATACTCTGTCCTTTGCCAATCTGCCAGTCTATTCAGCCCATTTATGGATCCCGCTTCTGTCTATAAGTTCCCGGTCCCATAGGATAAATAATTCTGTCCTATAGCGGCCATGTTGTATGCCATAGTCTGTCTTGAAAATATCTGATTTTGCTTTTTCTTGGTTGACTTTTGTTTATTTGCACGTGTGTGTGAAGTGTCCTTTTCACATTCTTTATTTTATTTTATTTTTTTCTATCTCTCACTTTATTGCAAGAGGAACATGGGATCACTCTTCTCCTCTTGATGTTTATTTATTTTTTTCATGAAATGCACAAATAGCTGTCAAGGTAAACAAACGTTTCCTCTCAAAAAGAAATCTAAGCATGCCGATGCAGTTTCTGTTATGATTTACAAGAACAAAACAGGAGCAGGCTGCTGTTTTTTCACAACTAAAGCTTTCAGTGAGTCTGGTAATGGCACACGGTGGAGGCAGTGAAAAGCCCACTTAGTGTCTGTTGCCATACAGAAGAGAGAAAGACGACATATAACAATAATAATATAATATGTTCTCAAGAAAATTACAGATTGTAATTGCTGATTTGATTTATTGTGAAAGATCAAAACAAATTAGAATGTCTCCATTCACTTGATTTGACAATAATATCATAAAGATTACCATGCTTTTAAATTGTAGATTATTTTAAAAAAAAAAAAAAAAATTAATTTCCCTTTGAAGTCAGAGGTCGAAGCTGGGAATGATGTCAAACCTGAGTTGACTGGGATGTAGTCGAGCAAGTCGGAAAGCCAAGATGTTGTTAGCAATACCAGTTCTAGCCATCTTAGGCATTGTTAGCCATACCAGTTGATAACAACGTATTGTGCATATACAAACTCTAGCAACTTTTCCAATGAAAGAAGTTGGACAGGACTGTGCATATGAGTGTCTTAGTGAGACGCAAATAAGACCTAAGTGCTATGAACTGTATTTTACTACAGCTTTAACCACTGTTGATGCATGGAGCAGCCATATTGGATTTTGAGGTTGGGGTTGGTGAGGTAAATTTGACTTCCTGAGTTGGAAATCTGACTTCAAGGGGTGTTTCAGTTGAAATTTCCAACTGGGGACTTGGAAATTCTGACTCCCCAGTACAAATAAGACGCACCATGTTTCCCTATCACTCTGGTGAGCCCTGACTTTTCCTCCAGCACCATCGTGATGTTGACATTTGGGGTTTTGAGTGAAATGTCTTGACATCTATTGGAAGCATTGCCCTGAAGTTTAGTACAGATATCCATGCCTACCTAAGGATATATTTTAATAACTTTGATGATCCTGTACCTTCGCATGCATCATCAAGTCAAAATTTTCATTTGTCCAGTACCTTTGTCCAGTTAGCATGCTTTTATGCTAACCCTAAAATAGTGAACACGGTTAACATTATACCTGCAGCATGGTAATGGAATGCTTCATCTGTCAAATGACCATTTGTGTATTACTCACTCATCCTGTCTTGCGCCGAACTCGTAAAGAAAATGTTAATTTCTTGCATGGTGAACGAAGAATCCAAAAACTGAGAAAATTATTGATGATTTAGAGTAAAAGGCAACTGCTTTTACTGGCAACAAAACTACTTCAAAATATCTGTGTAGACTCTTAAATAGCTCATGCGGTATAATCCAAGTCTCAATCATCCAATAGTGTGCTCAGTAATTCCCACATAGACAGCAATCTCCTAAGATGAACTGAACTAATAGTGAAACTTGTCTGTACTCTCTTCAAAGCCAGACTCCATTAACAAAAATAGTAATTTCACCTTGCAACACACTGCTGGTCTGTTGCTGCCTTGTTCAATATATGTTTGTGTTATTGTGTGACTTTGATGAATCCAAACTAACTCTTTAAAACACCAAAGTCACACAATAAAACTAATTAACAGATAGAGGCAGCAGTAGACCAGCAGCTCATGTGTTCAGCAAGGTAAAATTATTGTTTTTGTCAATGGAGTCTGGCTTTTAAAGAAATAAGGTTCACGTTCAGTTCCTCATCAGAAAGGGCTGTCTGAGCATACAACTGGATAAATGAGACTGATTATGCTGCATGAGTTGTGGGAGTTTGTAAACCAACACTTTGACATAGTTTTTGTTGTTATTAAACGTGGACCCCTTTGACTTAAATTCATCAAGAAATTTTTCAATTTTTGGTTCTTTGTTCACTGTGGAGGCATGCAAGAAAGACAATGCTGTCTTAAAAAATTCAATGTAACATGGGGTGAGTAATTGGCAGACAAATAGTCTTTTGGGGGGGAAGTATTGTTTTAACATTGTCACTGTGAGAATGCTGACTCTAGCATCAAAGCACCAAACAGCCTAAAGACCTGCTAGTGTGGTTGTACAATCCTGGTTGACAGCTATTCAGCAACTGCTTATCTGATCGGCTGTATGTTCGTAAATAATTATACTGTACAATAACTTATTTTTTCTTGCAGACTCTCAGAGCTCAGGTCTTTCTTGCTCCCTACATCTTTCACATTTTGTAACTCATGTTTTACTTTCTCATCATCAGTTCATCTGTCCGTCTTGTCTTTACATTTGTTAGCTTGTTTACTTCCCTTTCTTCTTCTTCTTCTTCTTCTTCTTCTTCTTCTTCTTCTTCTTCTTCTTCTTCTTCTTCTTCTTCGCTCTCTTCCTCCATATCTCTAGCTCCCCATCACCACTCCTTTTCTTTAGCCCTTTCCCCCCATTTTTATTTTTCTTTCCACGATTGTTGGTCATTCACTCTTTATCCCTATCATTCTTGCAACAATGGTAGAAAAAAGATGGAGACAAGAGCAAAACAATACACTCTGTATTTCTTTCTTATTCTCCTCCTCGTCAATTCTCTCCTTTTTTCTACCTTCTTCCTCACCCTCTTCTCCTCTTCTTTTCTGTCGTTTTTCAGGCTTGAAGCGAGGTGTGTGTTCCCAGATCAATCATTTCCCAGACGATGCAGACTACGACCAAGATGCTGCAGAGTATCTGCTGCGTGAGTGACACACACACACACACACACACACACACACACATTTACAAATGAACGACAGACGCACACAGACACCGCAACACACAAACACATGCACACATTTAGTTTGCACTACACACAGGGTGCATACACACAACAGAAGAACACACACACACACTCTCCATCACACATGGATACAGAAAGGACAGAAGGGGATGGTGGGCGGACATCAATGCATGGATGTCAGTTTCAAGCAAAGCGTTCCTGGAGGTGTGTGTAAGTGTGTGTCTGTATAGTGTGTGTATGTGTGTTTAAATGCCCAGGTGCATGAGGTTGGGAGTCTGGGGGTGTACAGAGAGCTTTTTTTTTCACAGATGGATTGAAAGAACAGCCTTCACTAATGGATTATTTTCAGCTCAGGATTCAGGTTTCACATCTTGCTTCCATTGTGATGGCGAATTCTGTTCGTACAGCCCTGAACCTTTGGGTTTACAAAGTATATGTTCTATCCATATATTACATAAAGATATCTATTTCCGTGAAGGAGGCTGTGATACTATCTTTTGTATCTACTTTGCTGTGCAACGCTGACTGAACAAGAAATCTTTTACTTCTCCAAAGGCTGCACAATCTTGTTCATGTTCATGTCCAAAATTTAGAGTACTAGATCAAAAGTATCAGATCTTTGCAGTTGAGGTGCTGGAATCAGGATGTTAATCATTTTTGTTTGCAAACTGTCTGGAGATTATTAAAGTAGTTGCAGATTATATTTCTGTTGGTTGACCTACCTCTTAATCAGCTAATTATCTCAGTTCTTCATCTGACAAACCAAAAAGCACTAAAATTACAGATCATTGCTGAAAATAAGTGGCAAACAATACTTTATGATACTTAGGTGTTTTGTTCAATTCATCTTTTAAAATGAAAATCACTTTTATGATTTGTGAAGCATAAATGCAATTGCCACAAGAAAAAATTGTTCCTATGAATGTTGCTTAGTGTGGTAGTGTTGAAGCCTTCTGAACTTAGAAAAAGCCTGGATCTTTGGCATCTTTGTACCCATTGAGCAGGTGCACTAGAGACTTTCATCGGCAGAGCGTCTGACTTCCGGTATAGGTGTCAGCTAACTTGAATTGAGAAGAAAATTATTTAGTCTTGTGGCTCTTCCAGACTTTCCAAATTTTATCAGATCAAATGGATCAAATCCTGATACTGAAACAAATCATTTCACGGGGGTTGTGACTCTCCCAAAAAAATGTATCCACTGGTTTACAGATATGTCTTTCACAATAGTACATCTATGGGAAAAAAGTATTTTTGGGGCCAAATGGCATCACGTGACACAGGGAGAAGTTGTTATGCTATGGTTTCACCATCATGTCAATTTGGCCTTAAAGCATGTTGTTGTTCCTTGAAGCTTGTTGAATTCGTGTTTGGCATTGTGACATTTAATGACCCTGACAATTTCTGGAGTCTTATTTTACCACTTGTTGGCAACCTCTTTTTTAAATGTTCTGTATGCAACATTCAGAGCATTAATATAGCAGAGAACCAATATTTGCCATGTAAAGATATAGTGGAGTAATGGCATCATGAGCAGAGAAAGAAGTCACATTGCCTCTTTGTGTTTTGTAGTCTGAACTTTTGTCTGGTTTGCTGTGTTAGGCTGGTACAGCCATGTTAGCCCATGTGTGTATCTCGCTGGCTAGCTCATTGCAACCACTTTTCACTGCGTGCATTCACCCGTTATCACTTATATTGAGACTGCGTTGCTGCAGAAGCATAGAGCCCACATTCCACTTACCCCCAGGTAAACACCGTTAGCTTTGATAGCACTGTTACCATTGTTTAGCACTGTTTATGGAGTTAGCATTGTTAGCTTCTAGCTGCTCAGCTACTCCCATGTTGTGCCATGTCCTGTGTCTGGACAGCTCATAGCCTACACTCTGAATTTCACAAACAGCCCCTTTAAGACACATAAAGGCTTCAAATTTCACAAGTGGGGTATTGACAGACATATTTAAGGCCATAGAACAATATATGTAAGTCTCATAAGCTTTTGTTAACCACAGACCTTATTTCAGGCATCTCTCCAAAAACAAAAGCGCTAACTCATTTCCAGGTTTCAGGACTCTATGGAAGAAGTCAATGATCACATTATTCTGTTGAGGTACCACACAGTAAGGGTTTGTCCCCTGAGCACCAAGGTCAGAAAATTGCCACAGACTCCCTACAGCTCAGCAATCTTTTTTATCAGCTACTTATCTAGATAATCAATAGAATGTGCTGAGGAGGCAAACACCACCCACATTGTTCCTTTTCCTCTTAAAACCAAATTCAGAGAATCATTTGCAACCACTGTTTGACATGTCTGACCAAAGCCTCTATGAATATATGCTTATCACAGCATTATCTCTTTCCTTCAGAAGCAAACAAAAGCTAACACAGCTCAAAAAGTCACCTTCAAAACTTGAAGACTCTGCTTTTCTCATATATTCCTCCTAGAGTTTGAGCTTCAGCATTTTAATCATCTATAATGTCTCTCTATGTTATCACAGCTATAGATTTGAGGTGTCGGCAGAGGAATTTACTGTGCAAGGGTTTTAGGTGAAGTAATGCAACCTTTTGCAGCCATACTGAAGGTCCTGAATGATCCCTAGTAATGGCCATGCTCCAAACTACTGTAAAATGTACAGACCAAAACATGGTTTTAGAGTATTCCAGCAGTTTAGTGCTGCAGTTATTGTGAGAGGTTATTCTGACTTTTAGTCCATGGTATGATTCAATCTCCAAAACACTGGATCCTACATTAATTAAAGAGGGCCTATTATCCTTTTCCGTATGTTCTGTAAAATATATAGGGCCCTATTTAGATGGTCTAAAGTGGACAGCGGACGGCACATAATCCATGTCTCAAGTGTCATTGCTATTTAGATGCCGGCGCAGTTGTCATTTTCACGTTGTCTAACTAGCAAATGAACTTGCGCTTCTCTGGGCGTGTTCGTCTAAAAATGAGGAGTGGTCAGGAGTGGTCAGGCGCAGTCATGGCACATTGCTAGTTAGATGACAGGAAAAGCAAGTGCGCTAGTGACCAACAAAAACCTGGTCTAAAGTCAACGGCGCAGTATTTCGCTGTTAAACAAGTTAGTAATATGCTTCTCTTGGCGGGTGCACAACGCTCGTGCACTCTGCTCAGACACACACGGAGCAGCCACACATATGCAAAAGATAACAAATAAAAATATGATTACAGTGTGGAAGGTTATTATTGTGCACATTAAAATATTTATCAGAAACACGTCTTAATGGCCAGTCATTAATCAGAATGATCTAATCACAGTAATAATGATCATCATAATCCGGGAGGTCCAAGCTGCAGTGTCCGAATATATGGAACTGCGAGCAGACCTCCACGGGCTGATGATGCATAGCCTGTAAAATGAACTTGTCTTTCCCAAATGAATTGTGATCATTTTGGTATGTAAATCACAAAATCAAAGATGTGAAAACGTTTCATAAACTTTATTTTGACATAAACACAACAATAACCAGCTTCTGTGAACTAAAAACGTAAACTTGTAGCCCTACAAGTACAAATGTATATTTAAAAAAAAGCTTTTAGAACGTAAAACTGAAGATCATCTTGTGAGGAGGAGGAGGAGGAGGAGGAGGAGGAGGAGGATGAGGATGCACAGCGGCCGCACAGCCCGCCACACAGCCGGGGGCACCCGGGGGAAGCTCCGCAGCCCGCGCACAGCCAGACCAGACGGCCCGGGTGCAGCCACGGGACCAGCCCTTCCTGCACCTTCAGGTGGGGGGGTTCAGGATGCTGGAGAGGGAGCTGTGCTCTCTAACCTCCCGGGTTAAAATAAAATTGAATAACTTAACAGTGTTTCTCTCGTGTGCACGCACGCACTCTCTTTCTCTCTCGCAGTCTCACTCTGTTTCTTTTCTTCTGACTTTTCTAAGATGACATATGCTGAATATATACTCCCTATCTGATGCTGTGGCTGTTTGTGGTTGGCTGAGAGGGATGTGAACTTATTAGTTTGCAGCTGTGTTAATCAAATCAGGTTGGGTTTCCATTACGCGTGCCAAACGTGCCAAACGGTGCCAATCCCCTTTGATCTGTCATCAGATGTGACGGGACAGTCGATATAGAGATACATTTATCATCTCCTCAGCTGTAAAACGCTCACTCTTTCCAGTTGGTAGGTCCGCCATCTAACTAGCTCTCCACCGTGTGCTCCAGTCGCACCTCTCTTAAAGGGAATGAGAGGTGACACTCTGATTGGCTTATGGAATGATACGCCCAAAACACACCCATGACTAATTCACAGAGTAAGTCCAGCCCTTTTAGACTCTCCGCCATGGCACACAGTCTGAAAATGCGCTGTCTAACTAGCAAGTGACTGGGACATGCCCATGCGCCGCATGCCGTCCGCCGTCCGCTTTAGACCATCTAAATAGAGCCCCTTATGTCCGATGTTCATACTAGATGTGGCCAAGGTTTCAAATAATGAAGTAAATGTACAGTCAGGTCCATAATTATTTGGACAATGATACAGTTATCATTTTAGCTCTGTACACCACCACAATGGGTTTTAAATGAAACAATGAATACCTGCTTAAAGTGCAGACTCTCAGCTTTCATTTAAGGCTTTTTTCAAAAATGTAGTATGAACCGTGTATGAATTACAACCATTTCTTCACACAGTCCCCCGACTTTAAGGGCTCATAAGTATTTGGACAAACTAACATAATCATCAATTAAACAGTCAGTTTTAATACTTGGTTGCAAATCCTTTACAGTCAATGACTGTCTGAAGTGTTGGACACATAGGCATCATCAGATGCTGGGTTTCTTCCCTGGTGATGCTCTGCCAGCCCTTTACTGCAGCCGTCTGCACTTCTTGCTTGTGTTTTGGGTGTTTTATCATTGTCCAAATAATTATGGACCTGACTGTATATGAAAGTAATCCCTGTGAGCAAAGACCTCAAGCTGCAGACCACTGTGAATAATC